TCTGTGACGGCAAAGATTTCAATTGAGGTCTGTTTTACACCCTCCAAAATTTTCAAAATGGTCGGAACCTTCCCAGGCGTGCACCAGACTCCTGAAAATGGTCAAAACGACCGAAAATCAACCGGAAAGTACGTGTTTATATCGTCAAACTTGAGCTTATTTATCCTGATTCCTGTGAGAGACACGAAACATTGGTCTCCGGTTGAATCATTCATCAAATATCGGCAATATGAGCCCGTTGATGAAACCATTGATGGCAATTAAAGGAACGGGGATCACACGGAGGAGGAGCGCCCCGTGGAAAATGCGGGAAGGATTAACAAGATTGGTCAATAGGGGGCTCAAAATGTCTCAAATTTTGCTGTGAATTCAAAAATATTTTGGAAAGATGTTGAAATTTCAGTTTGAACGTATTTAGAGACAATTTTAATTTTTGACCAAAAATATATTTTTTTGGAAAATTATTGACTTTCGAAATTTCAAGAAATCTTGGTTTAACGGTAAATAAAACTCAAAATCGTGTCATTCATAAAATTTGGAACGTTTTGAACCCCATATTGACCTATTTTGAGCAATGTTGAATTTCCAAGGGGTACCCCTCTGCGTGTGCGCCCCAAAACTCCAAATTTCATGAGAAAGTTAAATATTTGGCATAAAAATGGAAAGTTAATGCATTTTTCAGAAGTATGACACTTTCTGAAAAAAATTTTTTTTCGGAAATTTCAGATTTTTCTAAATTTCAACAAATCTAGATTTTCGGGCAAAATAGATCTCAAATTGGTGTGTTTCATAAAGGGTGTGACGTTTTGAGCCCCATATTGACCCATTTTGGTAAATTTTTAATTTTCCAGGGGTACCCCTCTGCGTGTGTGCCCCAAATATCAAAATCGTCAGAAATAGGTCGATATGAGGCTCAAAATGTCCCAAATTTCATGAGAAACTTAAATATTTTTGAAAAAATGGAAAGTTAATGCATTTTTCAGAATTATGAAAATTTCTGAAAAAAATTTTTTTTCGGAAATTTCAGATTTTTCTAAATTTCAACAAATCTTGATTTTCTTGCAAAATAGATCTCAAATTTGTGTTTTTCATAAAGTTTGTGACGTTTTGAGCCCCATATTGACCCATTTTGGTAAATTTTGAATTTTCCAGGGGCACCTCTCTGCGTGTGTGCCCCAAAATTCATAATGGTCAGAAATAGGTCGATATGAGGCTCAAAATGTCCCAAACTTTATGAAAAATTCAAATTTAAAATTAAACAATAAGAATAACCACATTTTAAAAAATAATGAGAATTTCAGAAAAAAAATTGTTTGTGAAAATTTTCAATTTTTCAAAATTTCGAAAAATCTTGATTTTCCAGCTACTTGAATGTTAAATTCGTGTTTTTCATAACATTTAAGACATTTTTGAGTCCCATATTGACCTATTTTGGTCAATTTTGATATTTGGGGCACACACGCAGAGGGGTACCCCTTGAAATTTCAATATTGGGCGAAATAGGTCAATATGGGGCTCAAAATGACCCAAATTTGACAATTAAAATTGACTTATTTTTAGCTTTCAATGGTTTTTGAGAAAATTTAATTTTTAGCTAAAAAAACATTTCTGTAATGATATGTTTTTGCTACTCAAAATTGTCCAAAATAAGTGGTTTTTTGACTCAAAATGTGTGAAATTTCACGAAAATTTCAAGTTTGACACTTCATTGTTCCAAAAATATACAACAAAAGTTATTTTCCAGGTTTCGCCTTCTCGATCCGTGAGCCCATCTTCAATGCGACTTATAAGCGTACAGCGACACGTGGATTCGCCAGGAAAATTCGTCTCGAATCCAGATGCACAAACGGATATCTGGTGCTCGATGGCTCCACAAAAATCCCATTTCCACGTGGCGCCGTCGCCACCATTGGATTCACTCTGGGGATGCGTTGAAGACTGTGATAGTTTGATGTGCAGGCAGTTCTTGGCTACAGTAACCCTTATCACTTTGAATGTCACTTAAACCTGATTTAACATGGGCTATATTTTTAACGGACGGGTTCTCCTCTTTTTTGTATTTTTCAAAAAACTCCAAAAAAATGCTTTTTGTGTATATAAATCATTTTTTATGAAATAAAAACTTGTATTTAGCTGTAAAATACCTGAAACAGCTCAGCAATTTTTCAGAACACATCAAAAAATCAAATTAAGTATATTTTGAGTTTTTAAACAAGCCTAAACACGGCTGTATTAGGCTCGCTCCTTTTTACTCCGAAAAAATCAAAGTGGGCGGAGCCTAGGCTTATTTTGAAGCTCAGAATTTATTGTCTTCATAGACGAAACTACTGTATCTTGTCTATAAGCAAAAAGTTACAAAGTGGGTCAAAAATTCGGGGGGTACAACTGATTTAGGGGTACAAAATTAGTGATTCGGGGGGTACAAAATGCCTTTTCGTACCGTTGAGTTGAAATGTTTTATCTAAACGAAGCTGCGAATCATTTAGAGGCAAAACCACGATTCAGAAGTGCAAAAAATACGACTTGCTAAAAAAATTTTGTAGCCCCTTGTACCCCCGAATTTTTTGCCCATATAGTGGCCAAGGTTTATTTCGCATGTAACTTTGTTCATTGAGAAGATACAGTAGTTCAAATAGTACCATTTTGTAGTACTTGTCGAGTTCTAATACAGTAAAAAGATACACTCTCTTTTCGTCCGTTTTCACAACTTTCAAGTCTTCATCAAACCATTTTTTGAAATGTATGTTTCTCGAAGTACAAGTGTAACCTATCGGGGTGATCCACCAGCCCTCCAGTGTCTTAAAAATGAACTCAAATCAGAGATGGAGAGTCTGGATCGTTCGATAAGAATATAGCAACAGTCGAAATTCATCAAGTTATCACAAGTTACCCAGTGTCCGTTGGAACGGATCCACAACTGTTTCATTGGTCCCAGTTCTCCATTGAATTTTAAATTGTTAGAGACATTGCCATCGATATTAAAGATGTGTGAAACACGTGCGTTTCTGTAAAAACTATTACCATTTAGGGGGGGGGGGGGGATTCCCTGAGAACATAATCTACCGTTCCGTCAGCATTCGTATTATACTTGGGATTCTTTTGCCAGTCGAAACACTTCAGCATCTTCTCCTGTCGATTATTGATCCAATCGAGTGCCCACGTACCGTATCTATCAGCTAGTAATCCGTTGATATCTAGGCTAAACAGATCAGTGACATAATCCACAATCCATTTTGTTCCCAATACTCGAGCATTGAAATAAAGAGCTGGACATTTATATGCAAACGCTCTTCTGTATTCATTAGTATGTTCTTTCAACTTTCCTCCTTTGGATTCTGCAATGGGTTTAACTATTATGACAGTTATCGGATTGGCGTGTTTAGATGTCCTAATGCTAACTCGTCCCCGTCTTGATCTATCATGAACAATATCCATTCCAACGGTTTCCTTCGTTCATAATGTCTTTTTAGAAGACATCCTACTTTTTTGGAGCAGAAAGAGGCAGATGCTCTGAAAATGTGCTCTTTTTAAGTTCAAATTTTACAAAACAGGTATACGGATATCAAAAAAAAAAATTGAGAAAGAACTTACATTTGATTAGGTTCCAAGAAACTGATGATTTCTGATAGCACGACAAATGGAGTACGGAGTATTGGAAAAGGCATTGGGAATGGGGAAGAAATGAATTGGATTGGGAAATGGGACACATATAGAATGAAGATGGTTCTGAGGAGACAGAAAGTGGGAGGGAAAACTTCATGGAATGGGAAAGTGTCGAATGGGTTACTGTCGACTACACACAAAATGACTCCTGGGAAGGTCTCTACTATAACTATCTCGATCAAGGTCGACCCCCATCCTACGAATGTGAGTGCTCTCCAACATATCTGGTGAGAACCTTCCCATGAGCCATTGTGTATCGTCCACAGTAACCCATTGAGCACATTGTCGTCTACATGCTTCTTATGTAGGACCTTTAGCGAGATAGTTAGAGTAGTGTCCTACCCAGGAGTCATTATGCGTGTAGCCTACATGCATGCAGTGTTTTCTCTCCCACCTTCGGATGGAATGGTCTGCATCTCTGGTAGAGAATCATTTTTCAAAGATTACTGTAGACTACACACCAAATGACTCATGGGAAGGAGATACCGTAAAACCTCTAATAGAACGACACCCGGATCGTCCACTTTGAGCCTATATATCTCATTTATTTTGAAAGATATCAAAAAGTGGTTAACTAGTAAAATGTTTATCAGGATATCAGCAAAATTTTACTAGCTAGCCACTTTTTGATATCTTTCACAGAAAATGAGATATATAGGCTCAAAGTGGACGATCCGAGTGTCGTTCTATTAGAGGTTTTACGGTATGCCCTTTCTTATCTTGATCTGGATAGTCTCTACGCCTTCCTCTCTATGTGTCTGCTCTAAAAGGTATCTGATGAGAGCACGGAACATGAGACAGAGAACGGGGTATGTCCTTCCCATGAGGGTACAGTAACCCATTGTATTTCATTCACCAGGTCTTCCTCCCAATTTCTCTATTATGAACCACCATCATTCTATCTGTCTCCGAATTCTTAATTCAATTCAATTCTCCCCCTTCCAATGCCTTTCCCAATACTGTAGACAATGCAAAATGACTCATGGGAAAGACATTTCGATATGGGTCGTATCCCAACCAAAGATACAATCCATTACTGGCTGTCTGCGAATCTCTGGGCGTCCCCGCCCCTTTTTACGAATGTGTCTGATTTTGGATAGCGAAAATATAGAGATTACAATAAAATGTTTTAATTTTTTTGACATTTAAAATCAGCAACAACGAAATCACATACAGGGAGTGTTAGAGAGATGGTGGAAGGGTAAGATAGTTGAAGATTTGAACACAGGAGCAGGTTTATTTAGAGGCCTCTGCTTTATGGAGATGCAAGACTATTCAACCAGCCATTGTGCCTCATTGAAATATAGGTTATTCTCAGATTCAATAAGCAATTTTATCATTGAACAAGAAACATGAAAAATCACGAAATTTCAATCAATTCCGATCCGCATGCCAAACAACCATCGTAAACATTCGGATATCACAATTTATCGTTGCCTTCACACCGTCCGTGCGTTGGATACTGTAGCCTCCTTGAATTTCAAACTCGCGATCCTCATCAGCACTGAAAAATGAATTAAAAGTACAGTAATCCAAAAAATGGTCACTAACACTACACGATATCTTCTCACTTCGTTCGTTTCCACAATTTCCAGGTCTTCATCAAAGTTGTCGAAAATTGTCAGATCATTTTCAAAATACACTTCTAGAAACGCCAATCGGGGTGAGCCACCGGCACGCCAGTGTCTTAAAAATGAATTGAAATCAGAGACGGAGAGACTGGAGCCTGTGATCAGGATATTATTGAAATCGTAGTTCATCAAGTTGTTAATAGTGACCCAGTGACCGTATGGCTGGATTACCAAATGCTCTGCTGGTCCCAGTTTTCCATCAAATCGAAAATGGTCGGAAACGTTGTCACGGATGCTTAAACACTTAGTAGCGCATACTTTTCTGTAAATATTTAAGATGTAAATTTAAAATCCTTATAAGATTTTACACATTTTTTGTCTAATCACGGCCCACTTTGGACAATTTTAAGATACAGACAAATCTCGGTTTTGTTTTGGGACATGACTTGGGCAAAACATGATGTGAGCCGATTGGCCAGGTTCTGGGCGCCCTCGAGTTTTCAGGAACTTACCTAAGCACATAATCCACTGTTGCGTCTGCATACCAATTATGTTTCAAGTTGGCAGACAATCCCATACCACCCAGCATCTTCTCCTGTCGAGTATTGATCCAATCGATTGCCCAAGTACAGGTTCTATCAATGACTAACCCGTAAACGTCTAGATCAAACAGATCAGTGACATAATCCACGATAAGTTTCGTTCCGAACACTCGATCTTTGGTATATAAAATCGAGCATTCCGGTGAGAAACGGAGTTTGTCCGATCTGTGTGCTACTCCTAATTCTGCGATGTGTCTCGTCATCATAACCGCTGTTCTGATGTTCATTTTTGATTTTGCAATTTCGACGCATCCATAAGAGTCATAATCTAACATGAATAATTTCCATTCCAATGGTTTCCTTTGTTGATAATGACTTCTTAGAAGACGTTCCATTTTTATGGAGCAGAAGGAGGCAGTCACTCTGAAAATGTTATCCTTATAGGTTCAAATCTTAGAACACAAGGGACTGACGACTTTTTTTCAATTTCAACTGGTCAAATAAAATTTTTGAAAGCTTCGGACAAGTTCCACTATTCAATACATGAATTTCTTATGTTTTGGAGAAAACGAAATAAATATAGAAACTTACATTTCCCTCGGTTCCAATACACTGATGATTTCTGAGAGCACGACGAATGGAGTACGGAGTACAGGGAAAGGCATTGGACAGGGAATGAAAAATGTATATAGTTGGATTGTGAGATGGGAGACAGAAAGAATGATGATGGTTCTAATGGAAAAGAGGGTGGATGGTAGGGAAGAACAGGTGAGAAGAGATTAGGGACAGTGGGTTAACGTAGATGAGGTAATCGACTCATGGGAAGGACATACTTGCTCTTCCATGCCGTTCTCTCTCTCTTCATGTTTTGTGCTCCCAGGAATAAGAACTGAATCTGGTGGGGACTAGACCATGAATGGGCGGGAAGAATGGGTTACTGTAGACATCACATCTATCTATCTTGGTCTAGTACTCCTACCAGATCTGATTCTTCTTCCTGGGAGCATAGGAAACGGTGTAGAGTGTCATGAGTCAATAACATCATCTACAGTAACCCATTGTTTCTAATCCCTTCTTCTCACCTAGGCGGAAATAAGATTCAGGGTGATGAATGTAAGAAGAAAGGTTGGCTGTTTTGTAAAGAAGCATTAATTGAGATCTGAGGCTTCAACCGAGCGATATCCTAAAACAGGCAAGACGTAGCATTTGAAAAGAGCAAGGTAGAATTCGGGGTGTTTGGAGTTAGACGACTTGAGAAGTTTTTTAGAACGGAGAAGAGTTATCTTTGCCTAGTCCCCACCAGATTCGGTTCTTATTGCTGGGAGCACAAAACATGAAGGAACGGCATGGAAGAGCGAGTAGACCCCTCCCATGAGTCGATCACATCAACTACAGTAACCCACTGTCCCTGATTCTTTCTCACCCATTCTATTCTCACCCACTTTTTCTCTTACGAATCATCATCATTCTATCTGTCTCCCACTTCCCAATCCAATTCATTTCTTGCCCATTTCAATGCCTTTTCCAATACTCCGTACTCCATTTGTCGTGCTATCAGAAATCATCAATTTCTTGGAGCCAAATGAAATGTAAGTTGATATATGAACTAACCCTAAAAGTATGCAAACATTTCGAGTTCGAAAACGTCGTCAGTACATTTCCTTGTAAGATTTGAACCTTAAAAAAGAGCCCATTTTTAAAATGACTGCCTCTTTCTGCACAAAACAACTTGAAATGCCTTATAAAAAGGCACTATCAAGAAAGGAAACCATTGGAATGGAGATTAACCATGATATACGTTGAGTCTCGTGGACGAGTCGACGTTGTGAGAGACGGCGATCGGAAAACTTCCATGTTTGCTAGACCAGTCGGTTTACGTCCCCGGGGCTAACTTCTTCCTAACCTCCGTAATCTTATAAAATTTGGAAATTCCTAATTCGGCAGCTTCTTTGAATGTTCGATTTCCCACGAAAATCATAAAAAATACAAAGCAAATGTTACACTTATTTATTATAAAGACGATGATTTCAAAAATATATGGTAAGTTCAATGGGTTCGATTCCCGGACGATGCACCATGTTTCCATGTATTATGGATATCCAGAAGGCCAGAGTACATCCTTGAGTCGATAGAAGTGACCTGGATCTAGGTCATCCGGATCTAGGTCACCCGGTTCCAGGTCACCCGGATCCAGGTCACCAGGATCTAGGACACCTAGATCCAGGTCACCCGGATCTAGGTCACCTGGATCTAGGTCACCTGGATCTAGGTCACCCGGTTCCAGGTCACCCAGGTCCAGGTCACCAGGATCTAGGACACCTAGATCAAGGTCACCCGGATCTAGGTCACCAGGATCTAGGTCACCCGGTTCCAGGTCACCCGCATTCCAGATCCCGGATCCTTTCTCCCCTTTCAGGAGCCCAGAGAACTGATTCTTTCCTCCACTTCTCTCTTCCTTTATAGTATTCTCTCTGAGGTCAATGGGTCATTTAGGGTCGTGAGTTTTTCAAATAATTTTTTTTCATCACGCTTAAATATCATTTGAATTTTTGTCTTTTGAAATTTGTGAAACTCCATAAAAAGAGCGTCCCATTGAACTTGATTATCTTGTTTCCTGTATGAGATATCAAAAAGTGGTCAACTGATAAAATGTTTATCATAATATCAGCTACATTTTATTAGTTGAGTATTTTTCGATATCTTTTGCAGGAACCGAGATAAACTGATTGATCTACAGTATCCATAATATGCTATTTTAGCTGCTAAAGAACCCGTAACTTTGAATTCCTATATCTCGGTTCTCGTAGAAGATATCAAAAAATAATCAACTAACAAAATGTTTGTGATATTATGATAAACATTTTATCAGTTGACCACTTTTTGATATCTTTTATAGGAAATGAGATATATGAGCTCAAAGTTGGCACTTTGAGTTTCAGTCTAGTTCATCAATTTTCCTCATTTTTTTCGATTATTTCGATTTCTATTGACCTCCAAACGTCATCAATTTTCCTAGGAGACGTCAATGTCTGCGTCTCCCCTCTCAATTAGATCTCTAATCGTTTCCACATGCGACTGACCGTTTGGGACGGGAAAAAGGGTGGAAAAGAGACAAACAACCCTTTCGTGTCTCTGCGTCTCTCGTTTGCTCATACTCTCTCACTGAGAATCGACCGAAATCGACGGTTTTTGGGGTGGCGGACAACAGTCAGAATTGTTCCTTTTCCTCAGAGGAAGTGTTTTGAAATAGTCCTTTTTTATAAGTTAAATTTGGTGAATATAGGCTGAATTTGAACCTTTTTTGCTTAAATTCTTGATTTTCAGCTTTTTCAAACACTTTTAATCACATCTAATCCACATCTAACGAGCTGGAAAATCGTTTGAAAAATTTCCAACAAAATTATTTTTTTTTTTTAATTTTAATAAATAATTTTTTCCATTTTTTTTCTTGCTTTTTCACTCCCAAAAATTGATGTTTACTCTGAAATTTGAGATTTTCAGCATTCCTTTTTTTCAATTTTCAAAATTTTTTTTTCCAGATTTTTTCTCTCGATTTTCCCCGAATTTTCACCCAAAAAACTCCCCAAATTTTCAGCTGATACTTGCTGAAAATTTGCTGAAAATCCGCTGAAAACCATGTCGGACGAGGAGGAATACTATGATGAGGACAACAGTGGTCAGGAAGAGGATTACGGTAATCAAGAAGATTACGGTAATCAAGAGGATTACGGAAATCAGGATGACTACAGTAATCAACAGGATTACGGTAACCAGCAGCAATATGGCTATGGCAATAATGATCAGCAATACGATCAAAATGATTATGGAGGTGAGAAATTGGCATGAAAAGGCCTAAAAAGCGTAAAAATGCAAGAAAATAACTATAAATTGGTTAAAAATGGCCTTAAAAAAGTCTAAAAATGTCCTGAAAGAGCCTTAAAATGACCTAAATTGGTCTGAGTGAGCCTAGACGACCTAATTTTGCTTCCTGGCGTTTCTAGCCTATTTTAGGCATTTTAAGGCCTAAACTGGTCTAGAACAACTTGAAAATGGCTAAAAAAGTCTAAAAATTGTCTAAAAATGGTCTAAGTAGTACCTGAAAAGCCTTAAAATGACCTGAACTGGCCTAAGCTAGCCTAGTTGGCCTGAGACTGGTTCCTGGCGTTTCTAGGCAGTTTTAGGCATTTTCAGAGCCTAAACTGGCCTAATTGATGCCTCGAAAGCCTTAAAATAGCTTTAAAATGGTCGAAAACGATCTAAAAACCTCTGAAATTCGTCGAAAATCGACCTAAACTAGCCTAGAACTACCTTAAGGTGCTTCTAGGCCCCTTTAGGTCGTTTTTAGGCTATTTTAGGTCGTTTTGGGTTATTTCAAAACGTTCAAAGCAGTTTTTAGGCCATTTCCTAGTCATTTTCGGTCCCAAAAGTCCCAAAATTTGAATTTTCAGGTGGATACGGTAACAATCAACAGCAGCAATATGGCTATGGCAACAACGAGGAGCAATACGATCAAAATGATTATGGAGGTGAGAAATTGACTTAAAAATGACTTAAAATGGCTGACAATTGTTGGAAAAAGCGTAAAACTGGTCTAAAAATGATCTAAATAGTACCTGAAAAGCCTTAAAACGACCTAAAGTGGCCTAAGCTAGCCTAGACAACCCTAAGATTGCTTTCTGCCGTCTCTAGGCTGTTTTAGGTCGTTTTTAGGCCCTTTAGGATCATTTTTAGCTATGTTTAGCTATTCTGGGCTACTTTCAGGCCATTTTTAGGCTATTTTAGACTATTTTCAGCTATTTCTAGGCCGCGAAACTCCAAATTTTCAAATTTTCAGGTGGCTACGATGAGTCCGAGGAGCCGGAAGAAGAGGATCCAGAGGATCCCGAACCAGAAGATCAAGACATCGATTATTCAGATGACGTGGAGAATTCGGAAGACGTCGTTGACGACGAAGAGGAAGAGGACGATGGATACACTCAAGTCGCCGCGCATACCAATCAAGCATCGGATGGAAATGAGGGAGGAAATAATGAGTCCCATGGAATGGGATCACTGATTAAAGGTGATTAAACATCGAAAAATTGATTTTTTGAGCTTAAAAATTGTTTAAAATAGTCCAAAATGGCCTAAAATAGCTTAAAATGAGTATGAATTTTTTTTTGTTGTAAAATGTTTATGACCCAAAACTTAAAAACCCGTTTGAATTTTGATTTCCTATATTTTCCATCGTTTTTAGCTCCTTATTAGCTTTAAAATGAGTTCAAACTCAACTAGTTTCCGCCCATTTTGAAATTTCACTTGGACACGTGACGCACGACCGCGGCGCGCCACTAAAAAATCAAAGTGGGCGGAGCCTAGTCGTGTTTGGGCTCAATTTGAAGCTCTTGATGAGCGGAACAATATAATAAGGTTTTGAAGAAGAAATAATCAAAATTTGGAGAGTTGTGGGAGTTTTTAATTTTTTGAAAATTTTTTCAAATTGTTTTTTTTTCAAAAATGTAGTTTTTGGGCTCATTTTGAAGCTCAGAACCTGTCAAAATTAAGTTTGGTTTGAAATTTGCTTTAAAATGAGCCCAAACTCGACTAGGCAGCGCCCATTTTGAAATTTCGCCTACAGACACGTGACGCACGACCGCGACGCGCCACAGAGAAACAAAATGGGCGGAGTCTAATCAATATGGGACTCATTTTAAAGCGCATGATGAGCTGAGCAAAATAGTAAGGTCTTAAGAAGGAAATAATCAAATTTTGGGGAGTTATGAAAAGTTTTAATTTTTTTGAAAAAAAATCTCCAAAAAAAATTATTTTTTTTTCGAAATATAGTTTTTGGGCTTATTTTGAAGCTCAGATTATGTCAAAATCAACTTTTTTGGAATTTGCTTAAAAATGAGCCCAAACTCGACTAGACTCCGCCCACTTTTAAGTTTCACTTTCACACGCGACGCGCCACTGAATTACCAAAGTGGGCGGAGCCTAGGCAATATGGGGCTCATTTTGAAGCTCGTGATGAGGTGAGCACGATAGTGAGGTCCTAAGAAGAAAATAATCAAAATTTTTAAAGTTATGAGAATTTCGAATTTTTTTGAAAAAAAAGTTTTTTCTGGATTTGGGCTAATTTTTGAGCTATTCTAACTTGGGCTCATCTTGAAACACAGAATCTTGTAAAGAGCTAATTACCCTTTAATTACAGGCGCTATGGATGGCTTCGGTGGTGGCGGTTTCGACGGTGTCGTCGGACAAATCGGCTCGCTGATCTCCGAAGGGGGCGGAGCTTCCGGAGGTGGTCTCTCCAACATTTTCTCATCTGGAGGCATGGAATCAATTGTTGGGAATCTCATCTCAACGGCGTCCCATCAATTTTTCGGAATCAATCCAGCGACAGGAGCCATCATTGGAGCCATAGCTGGAAATATCATATTCCAGATGGGCGGTACCAATAACTCGTTGAGTTCCATCGGAAAAGTGGTCCTGGATAATATTATTTCGGGAAAATTCAAGAGGGATATTCAACCATTTACCCCAGGAGGAGGGGGACCACCGGGTCTCGGATTCCAGCAGCAATTCCAGCCAATTAACTTCCAGGCTGAAAGACAGAGATGCCTAGATCAGCGGGTCTTGTTCGAAGACCCACAGTTTCCAGGTAAAATTTATCTGAAAATGGTCGAAAATGGCTGAAAATGACCTAAATCTCCTTAAAAACTGAATCAAACGTCTTCTAAGATCACGAGCTTCAAAATGAGCCCCAAATTGCTTAGGCTCCGCTTATTTTGATTTTTCAGTGGCGCGTCGCGGTTGTGCGTCGCGTGTCTGTAGGTGAAATTTCAAAATGGGCGGAGCCTAGTCGAGTTTGGGCTCATTTAAAAGCTGATAATAAGCTAAAAACCATGAAAAACATTAGAAATTGAAACATTAAATAAATTTCTAAAAATTTGGGTCTTGTAGCGAAACTTATTTTTTGGAATATTGGGACTTTATTTAGTTTTTTAATTTTTCCAAATTTCAATTTTCGGACCTCATTAACTTGTTTATCTTATTATGAGCTTCAAAATGAGCCCCATATTGCCTAGGCTCCGTCCACTTTGATTTTTCAGTGACGCGTCGCGGTCGTGCGTCGCGTGTCTAGGGGAAATTTCAAAGTGGGCGGAGCCTAGTCGAGTTTGGGCTTGTTTTAAAGCTGATAATGAGCTCAAAACGATGGAAAACATTAAGAGTCAAAAATCTTTGAATAAAAAAGTGAAAATTAGCAAAAATGAAAAATTGACCGTTTTGGGCAAATCTAGGTCTTTTGAGACTAGATGTTGGCTTAAAATCCGAGTTTTGTGCATTTTGTGGTCAAATATGGCGTTTTTCGTTACAATAAAAGCTGTTTTCATGACAATACAAGCTACAGTAATCTGGAAAAGTCTCAAAACCCCAGAGTTGCGTAAGCGGTCAAAATCTTAGTCGAAAAATGCCAGTTTTCAACTTTTCCAGTCAGAGTTTCAATTTATAATGTTTTTCATTGTTTTGAGCTCATTTTCAGCTTCAAAACGAGCCCAAACTCGACTAGGCTCCGCCCACTTTGAGACTTCCTTTTTGACACGCGACGCACGACCGCGACGCGCCACTGAAACACCAAAGTGGGCGGAGCCTAGGCAAAATGGGGCTCATTTTGAAGCTCGTGATCTAAAAAGACGTTGTAAATGGGTTTGAGAAAGGAATAGCTGAAAATTGAAAAGTTATGAGAGTTTTAATGTCTCTAGGACTTCGATTTTTTGGATTTTCTAGATGTTGACTCATCTCAAATTGCTAATTTTTGCAGCCAACAATTCTTCGCTCTACTATAAGACGCCTCCAGAAGACCCGATTGTTTGGAAGCGTCCCGGAGAGATTTACGAGAATCCACAGCTAATTGTTGGTGAAAAATCAAGATTTGACGTCAAACAAGGAGCTCTAGGGGACTGTTGGCTCCTGGCGGCAGTGGCAAACTTGACCCTTCGAGATGAGCTCTTTTATCGTGTCGTCCCGCCGGACCAATCGTTTACCGAGAATTATGCTGGAATTTTTCACTTCCAGTTCTGGAGATACGGTCAATGGGTGGATGTGGTCATTGATGATCGGCTGCCTACTGTAGATGGTCGTTTATGCTATATGAGATCACAGGAGAATAACGAGTTCTGGAGTGCCTTGTTGGAGAAGGCGTATGCTAAGTGAGCGTTTTTTTTAACTGAAAATGAGCCAAAAATCATGAAAATTGATTTGAAATGAAAAATCCCAATTTTTAATGTTTAGTTTTTCTCGAAAATTTGTCCGAATTTCACCTTTTTATGTTTTCAATCGTTTTCAGCTCATTACCAGCTTTGAAATGAACCCCATATTGCCTAGGCTCCGCTCATTTTGAAATTTCACCTGGACACGCGACGCACGACCGCGACGCACCAGGGAAAATTCAAAATGGGCGGAGCCTAGTCGTGTTTGAGCTCATTTTAAAGCTCGCAACACCTCAAATACAATAGAATAAAAAAATTTCGAATTGGGTCAAAATTGACCGATATACGGTAGTTTTAATATTCGTATCGAGCTGTTTCAATTTTCGTATCGAACTTTTAATTCCTAATGCTTTTTTATCGTATTCTGCTCATTATCAGCTTCAAAATGAGCCCAAACTCAACTAGGTTTCGCTCACTTTGAGTTTCGATGACGCGTCGCGGTCGTGCGTCGCGTGTCTAGGTGAAATTTCAAAATAGGCGGAGCCTAGACGTGTTTGGGCTCATTTTGAAGCTAATAATGAGTTAAAAACAATTTGAAACGTTAAAATTCAAAATTCCAACGATTTTTTAAAATTTAGGTCTTGAAGCGAAAATAACTTTTTTTGGAATATTGGAACTCGTATTTACTGCTTTCAATTTTAAAAATTTTGAATTTTGGGCTTCATTATCTTGCTCTGCTGATCATGAGCTTCAAACAGAGTAAGGCTAGACTCCGCCCACTTTGAAATTTCACCTAGACACGCGACGTACGACCGCGACGCGTTGGGGAAAAATCAAAGTGGGCGGAGCCTAGTCGAGTTTGGGCTCATTTTGAAGCTCGTAATCTCAAAGGACGTTGTAAATAGTTTAAAAACAAAAATAATAAAAATTTCGAGAGTTATGATCCTTGTTAATTTTCGAATTTTCAAATTTTTCCAGACTCTACGGCGGCTACGAGCATTTGGATGGTGGAACCACTGCCGAGGCTCTTGAGGATTTCACAGGAGGCCTGACTGAGTTTTTTGATCTGGAAAAAGGCGACAAATCGACGATTCTGGCAATGCTGGTCCGTGGAATGCAAATGGGATCTCTGTTTGGATGCTCAATCGACGCTGATGAGAATGTTAAAGAGGCTCAGTTGACAAATGGTCTGGTTAGAGGACATGCCTACAGTATTACGGCCATTCAAACTGTCAATACTTACTCGGTAAGTGCAAAAAATGACTGAAAATTGGGTAAAAAATGGAAAAGATCGGTTGAAAATGGTCTAAAGCTGCCGTAACTTTCCAAATTTCGATTATTTCTTCCTAAAACTTATTTAGTGTTTATTCTGAAATCATTAGCTTCAAAATGAGCCCCATATTGCCTAGGTTCCGCTCACTTTCATTTTTCAAGGGCGCGTCGCGGTCGTGCGTCACGTGTCTAGGTGAAATTTCAAAATGGGCGGGGCCTAGTCGAGTTTGAGCTCATTTCGAAGCGCTCAATGCATCAAATCAGAAAGAATCACAATTTTTCAACCTGGCTCAAAATTGATCGAGTTATGGTAGTTTCAGTTTTGAATCAAAATTGCCTCAAAATTTGAAATTACAATAACGTTTTTCATTTTCATCAAATTCAGAAAATTTAAATTGTATCGTATTTGTGGTGTTGCGAGCTTCAAAATGAACCCCAAATTGCCTAGGCTCCGCCCACTTCGATTTTTCACCTAGACACGCGACGCACGACCGCGACGCACCTGAAAAATCAACGTGAACGGAACCTAGTCGAGTTTGGGCTCATTTTGAAGCTCGTAACTTCACAAAGTGATTTAAACTGTTTTTGAAAAAAAATAATCAAAATTTGAAAAGTTATGATGATTTTTCAAAATTTTATACATTAAAAAATTTTTTCCAGGGTCAAACCCCACTGCTGCGCATCCGCAATCCATGGGGAAACTCGAAAGAATGGAATGGTGCATGGTCTGACGGTGCATCAGAATGGAATCAAATCGATCCATCCCAACGGGAACAAATGAATGTGCAATTTGCAAAAGATGGAGAATTCTGGATGAGTTTCGACGATTTCATGTCCAATTTCACCCAGATGGAGTGTTGTAATCTGTCTGCAGATGTGATGGATGAGATTTCCGAAATGACTGGTGTGGAGGTAGGCTGAAAACTGGTAAAAAATTGGCTGAAAATGAGCCAAAAATCATGAAGATCGGCTGAGAATGAAAAATTCCAATTTTTAATTTTCAATTTTTCTCGAAAACTAGCCGGAATTTTAATTTCTAATGCTTTTTTATCGTATTACGCTCATTATCAGCTTCAAAATGAGCCTAAACTCGACTAGGTTCCGCTCACTTTGAAAATTCACCTAGACACGCGACGCACGACCGCGACGCGCCTCTGAAAAACCAAAGTGAGCGGAGCTAAGCAATATGGGGCTCATTTTGAAGCTTATGATAAGTTGAAGGAAGTAATAGAAACCAAAATTTGAAATTATGAAAAATGAAAAAAAAAAAGAAAATTTCGATTTTCCAACAAAAAATTTTCAAGACTCAATTCTTTGAAAATTTGTCAGAATTTTGATTTCTAATGTTTTTCATTGTTTTGAGCTTACGAACAGCTTTGAAATGAAACCAAACTCGACTAGGCTCCGCCCATTTTGAGATTTTCCCTAAACACGCGACGCACGACCGCGACGAGCCTCTGAAAAACCAAAGTGGGCGGAGCCTAGGCAATATGGGGCTCATTTTGAAACTCTCGATTTCAGAAATTGTTTGAGATAATTTTAAGGGATATATAGCCGGAATTTGGAGAGTTATGAAGATTTTAATTTTTCGGAAAAACTTTTTTTCGAAAATTTAGTTTTTTTGGCTCATTTCGAAGCTCCCATCTTCCAATTTTCAGATTCACGACAAGCAACGTCACCAATGGGTCGAAAAGCAAGAGGACGGAGAGTGGAACTCTCGTCAAGGCACCGCCGGAGGCTGTCAAAACAACGACACCTACATTCAGAATCCACAGTATGCCACGGCGTTCCAAGTACCACAGGATGCTGTAGAGCACGATGGGAAGTGTACAGTAATTGCGGCGGTTTTGCAAAAGTATAGAAGAGAGATGAGATCCAAGAATTTGGATAATTTGCCGATCGGATTTTCGATTTATCGATCGGAAGGGGGCGGTGGACCACTTCAATCGATCGCCGGACAGAAGCCTGTGGCACGGACCAAGGTCTTTATCAATATGAGAGAGGTAATTAAAAATTAACTAAATTATTAAATTAAAAATTCAGAAATTCAGAAATTCAGAAATTCAGAAATTCAGAAATTCAGAAATTCCAAAAATTCAGAAATTCAGAAATTCCAAAAATTCAGAAATTCAGAAATTCAGAAGATCAGAAATTCAGAAACAATACAAATTTTTGAATATTGAATCACAGACTTTCGGAAATCTTTAAAATTCTTTTTTTTTTTTGGATTACTGTACCCCTTAAAAATTGATTTGATTTTAATAAAATTCAGGTTACTGTACGCTTCCGCGTCCCACCTGGACAGTATGTCATCGTTCCGTGCACCTTTGACGCTTATGATGATGCGTCGTTCCTGTTGAGAGTGTTCGCCAATGCCGAGTTTCAGACAAAGTGAGTTGAGGGTTTTTGACTGAAAGTGCTGAAAATTGGCTGAAATCTGAACCTAAAATCATGAAAATCGGCCGAAAATGAGCCTAGATAGCCTAAAAATAATAGAAATCGAACATCTGGACACACAGAAAGACATACAGAAACTTAGGAAAAAATGGTCTAAATTGACCCAAAAATGTGCCTAAATTGGCTTAAAATGACCCTAAACTGGCTTAAAAATGGGCTTATATTAGCTCAAAAATGATCTAGATTGGCTTAAAAATGCGCCTAAATTAGCTTGGAATAGGCCTAAATTGGCTTAAAATAGGCCTAAATAGGCCTAAAACTGGCCCAAAAATGGTCTAAATTGGCTCAAACATGGTCTAAATTGGCTCAAAAATGATCTAAATTGGCTCAAAAATGGTCAAAATGTCCTTTTTTTCAGCCGTCTTCGCTAGAATGGACCCAAATAGAGCAACGACATCTGGACATCTGGACACACAGAATCTTAATTTTTCTCATTTAATTTTTTTCTTATTCGTCTCGCCTTTTTTGTATCCTAATAATTCCAAAAAAACACAATTCTACAGTTTTTTTTTAGAATCCCAAAAAAATTGAAAATTTCCAAATTTCAAAGTTTCTTTCCTCACATAACTTGATCCGAATTACAAGACTAGGCTCCGCCCACTTTGAAATTTCACCTAACACGCGACGCACACGACCGCGACGCGCCACTGAAAAATCGACGTGGGCGGATCCTAGCCGAGTTTAGGCTCATTTTGAAGCTCACAACACCTCAAAAACGGTGCAATTTGAAATTTTTAAATTGGATGAAAACTAAGAAAGTTATCGTACTTTCAAATGTTGAACAAATTTTGATTCAAAAATTGAAACTACCATAACTCGGTCAATTTTGACCCAATTTGAAAAATTTTGATTGTTACACATTTGATGCGTTCTGGGCTTCAAAATGAGTATAATCACGACTAGGCTCCGCCCACTTTGAATTTTCACATAGACACGCGACGCACGACCGCGACGCGCCACTGAAAATCAAAGTGGGCGGAGCCTAGTCGTGTTTGGGCTCATTTTGAAGTCCATGACTTCAGAATGGTGAATATAAGTAGTTTAACCAATTTTAATAGGATTTGAGAAAGTTTTATAAAAAATCGATGTTCCAAAAAAAATTTTTTCAACTTTTTTGTGATAAAAATCTTCTCTATTTTATTATCAACTTTTGGTTAACTAAACTTCCTCTTTTCCTTTCAATTAAACAAAAAAAAATCGCCGATCACAGAAAACTTTTTTTCCACTGATTACGGTTTCCATAGAGAGTCACTTGATGCCTTATCACCTAATCAAACGACGCGAAAACCAGTTTTCTTATCTAATTTTCTTTTTATTCTTGGAACTTTTTTTTCTTAGTAAGATATTTCTCTCTTTTCAATTTGAAACAAACAGAAACTGTAAAGTTTAAACTAAAAGTGGGCGTGGCTTGGAGGTGGGCGGAGCCTAAGAGGACAGTATAAAACCAGGGTGATAAGGAAGGAAATTTCACTTTTTTCATTCGGTTAGGTTTGCGGGAAAAATTGCTATATTTTAATTTTTCGAAAAAAACTTTTTTGGAAAATTTTTAAAATTAACATTTTTTTCAAATTTAATTTTTTATTTTCCATTTTTTCTCGAAAATTAGGTAGAATCTTGATTTTTAATGTTTTCTGTGGTTTTGAGCTCATTATTAGCTTCAAAATAAGCCCAAACTCGACTAGGCTCCGTTCACATTGATTTTTCAGGTGCGTCGCGGTCGTGCGTCGCGTGTCTAGGTGAAAAATCAAAGTGGGCGGAGCCGAGGCAATATGGGGCTCATTTTGAAGCTCGTAATCTCAGAATGTTTTCTAAAAAGGTTTTAGGGATAAATAACCAATATTTGGAGAGTTAAGATTTTGGATTTTCCAAAAATAGTTTTTTCTTCAAGCCCCAAATCTCCAAATTTGTCAGAATTTTGACTTTTAATGCTTTTAATCACACTCATCTCATCATTAGCTTTAAAATGTGCCCCCACACAACTAGGCTCCGCCCAATTTGAAATTTCCCCTGGACACGCGACGCACGACCGCGACGCGGCTGAAAAATCAAAGTGGACGGAGCCTAGTCGTGTTTGGGATTATTTTGAAGCTGAGAACGTGCTACATTTGAAGCTGAATATGCCAGCACGATAAGAGACATGGATTTTTTGAAAAATGGACTTTTTAGTTTAAAGTTCCGCATTTTTCTTCTAAATCTAAAGTTTGCCACCGAACCAAAAAATTCAAAATTTCGAAATTCTTGCAGATGGGCGCGTTCGGCACGTTGGCGTGCGCTTCGGCGACAATTCTAACCATCGGATCCCTGGCAACCATGTGCTTGATCGTTTCCGACATCAACGGTCTCTACAATGACGTCATGGAAGAGTCCAGAACCACTCGTACTGTAGCCGACGACGCGTGGGCGGAGCTTCTCCGTAAGAACGGCGCTCCAGAAGCTTCAAGAGAAGCTGTGGCAGCCATGCTTTTGGGTAGAAACAAACGTAACGCTCAGTGTAACTGTGGAGCCAAGAGCCATGGATGCCCAGCCGGACCACCAGGACCACGTGGACCAAACGGACAGCCAGGACAGGATGGACCAGACGGTCTGGATGGAGCCAATGGAGCACCAGGATACGCTGGAGCCATCAAGGAGGAATTCGGTGGGGCATGCATTTCTTGCCCAGCCGGACCACCAGGACCACCAGGACCAGATGGATGCGCTGGGGAGCCGGGACAAGATGGAGAGCCTGGGCATGATGGAAAGAATGGATCACCAGGGGCTCCAGGAGGACCCGGACCAAAGGGACCAGCTGGGCATCCAGGAAAGGCCGGAAGAGGGGGACCAAGAGGACCAGCTGGAGCCAAAGGACAGACCTATCTGCCAGGAGCCGCGGGACATCCAGGAAACAGTGGAAGACGAGGACCACCGGGACCAGCTGGACCAAATGGAAAGAATGGAAAGCAGGGAGCCGATGGTATTCCAGGAGCCGGTGGTGCTCCAGGACAACACGGAATTCCTGGAGTCGATGGAGAACCAGGAGCACCGGGAGAGGATGCCGCGCCAGGAGGAGATGCCGCCTACTGTCCATGCCCAAATAGATCGGTGGCTGTGGAAGCGGCTCCAGCCACGACTGAGCAGATTTATAAGACTCATTAAAAAAGATAAGATAATGATGAATAAAGAATTTTGCATTTCAAAAGTTCTGAAATTACAGTAATCCTGATGCTTTGAAACGTTGCTTTCAGGAGTTCTAGAAAACAGAAAACGGTGTTCCTTCGAACCTGTGACCCTTAGAAAGTTGCCCATTCTGATTGAAAATGCCTATTTTCAATTCAGCTCGTGTTCAGCTTTTAAATGAGCCCCAACACGGCTAAGCTCCGTCAACATTGTTTGTTCAACTGGACACGCGACGCACGACCGCGACGCGCCACTGAAAAACCAAAGTGGGCGGAGCCTAGTCGTGTTGGGGCTCATTTGAAAGCTGAAAGCGTAATAAATTCGAAAATAGCATTTTTGATTGAGTTAGGCAAATATTAGCGAACTTATGACAAAAACAAATTTTGCCAAAAAATGAGAATTTTTTGAAAAGTCCTAAAAATCGAAATTTCGTAATTTTTTAGGCTATACTTAACATTTATTGTGTAATTTAAATGCAAATTAACATAATTAAAGAGAGAAAACTTGGGAAAAAATCCAAAAATCAGTCATATCGTGTCGAAGAATAGTGCGTTTCGCGTTCTCCGTATACTGTAGTCAGCGATTTCGTCGGAATCGGACGGATCATCCATCTACAGAAGATTCGACGGAACCCATGGTTATACGGTTTGATGTAGTACATTGTGATGATTGGTTGAATCAGTGGAATCACGCTGGAAATCAATTTATGGAATTTGAAACTATGATATTTGGGATTTTCATAAAAAATGCTTCAAAATGAGTATGAACATGATATAATTTCCAAAAAAGTTTAGTGGAAATTGAAATTTTTCAGTTTTCCAGGGATAATTGTTGGTTTTTTTTACTATAACTCCCCAAATTTTGAGCATTTCTACTTGAAATTTATTTAAAACTCTTTCTGAAGTCAAGAGCTTCAAAATGAGCCCCATATTGACTAGGCTCCGCCCACTTTGATTTTTCCCTTGGGGCGTCGCGGTCGTGCGTCGCGTGCCCGGGTGAAATTTCATAGTGGGCGGAGCCTAGTCGAGTTTGGGCTCATTTTGAAGCATTTTTTCTCCCGAATCAGTTTATTTTTATTTTTTTTTATTTTGGAGCAAAACTAGCAATGTTATGGTCTATAAAAAGGGGAAAATTACCTAAAAAGTGTGTAAACCAAGTATTCCGCTACAGTGACATCAATGAATTCCAAATGATAAAGTCCGTATAAAGTGATTGGCGGGAAAACAAAGAATATTGGGACCGACGCCTGAATAGTGAGAACCTGGATCAGTTTACGATGGCCTTTTTCGGTTCCCTCGGACATTGTCTGAAAATTTCAACTTTCTTTTGGGTGAATTGAAGTTCAAAAACTCTGAAAACTAGAAAAAACAGTGCAAAAATCTTAAAAAAGAGAAAAAATGGACCGTGGGTTTGAATTTTGAAATTTAAGCTAGACACGCGACGCACGACCGCGACGCGCCACTGAAAATTCAAAGTGGGCGGAGCCTAGTCGTGTTTGAGCTCATTTTGAAGCTGAAAACGTGACAAAAACGATAGAAAACATTAGAAATTGAAATACTGGCTTGTTTCGAAAATTTTGGACGGTGAAAAAAGGGAATTCTTCATTTTCCGTCAATTTTCATGATTTTTGGCTCACTTTCAGCCATTTTTTAAAAAACAATATGGGATTCTCTTACCGTTTTATTATGCAGCAGGTAATTGTGCACTTTTTTGTAGAAGAAAATCACCAAACAATAAATTGGGAACATTGGAAGGACAATTGTCGCCAAAGTGACAGAAGTCAGTGGAGAATTGATCATATGATTTCCAGAAATGAAAAAATGGTCCAATTTATAAAATGGCTTGTTCTGTTTCAGATAAGTCGTTATCTCGTCTGGAGGCGATTCCGAGAAAATGAAGCAAATCTGGAAAAAAATCCGAAAATTCCAATTTCCGAATTATTCAACTTTTATTTCTATCATAACTTCTTCAAACTTTTTCCAATTCTGCCGAAAATTTTATTTTTGAGATCAGCTCGTTATCAGCTTCAAAATGAGTACAAACACGACTATATTTTCTGAAAAAATTAGGCTCCGCCCCTTTTTGCCCTAAAATTCAAAGTGGGCGGAGCCTAACCGTGTTTGGGCTCATTTCGAAGCTCACAACGTGAGAAATGCGAAAAAACTAAAATTTTCACAACTGGAGGAAAATTGACCAAGTTATGGTAGTTTAAATTTTTAGGAAAATTTGACATCAAAATTGAAACTACCATAACTTGGTGAGTTTTCATCCAATTCGAAAAATTTTGATTGTCTCGCATTCACCGTGTTGTGCGCTTCAAAATGAGCATGAACTCGACTAGGCTCGGCCTATTTTGAATTTTCACTTTTTAGTTTAGGCTCATTTTAAAGCTAATAATCTGAAAATGTGCTATATATAGTTTTTAGAAAGAAATACTCAAAATTAGGAGAGTTATGATAGTTTTTGGAAAAGTTGTGAAAAATATTTTTTTTGAAAAATTGCAATTTTCGAAATTTTCCAATTTCTATCAAATTTGGGCTCATTTTGAAGCTCTTAACGAGCTCTATTCAAATATGTTATTTTAACTCACATGTTGCGCAAATGCCACCAGCCAAAGGCAAAAACACATAATAATACAGGACTTTTGCTCAGGAGCCGGACGAATCAAGATCCAATATCGGAATCCGAAGCTAATTGGAAAACAAAGGAACATATAGAACAGAGAGTGGAGCATCACACAGTATGCCAAATAACCTCCTTGAGCACCTCCAATCCATCCAGCTGGACCAAGGGAAATATAGGCAAATGCCCATTTATTTGGGATTATTCTGAAAAATAGGAATTTTGGACTTTTTTCGGGGTCTGGGACCATTTTTTCAGGCATCAACGCTAAAAAATTCGTGATTTTCAAGAATTTTTCACCCCGAAAAGTCATCATTTTCAGTTAATTTCAGGTAATTTTCAGCCCAAAAGTTGCCTTTGAAAGTTTTTAGGTTTTTCAACTTTAAACTTTTTAAAACCTACCGTAACTTTTTAAACTATTCCCTAAACTTACTGAAAACTACATTTTTGACGTCAGCGCATTATTAGCTTTAATATGAGCATAAACACGATTAGACTCCGCCCATTTTGAACCTGCACCTAGACACGCGACGCACAACCGCGACACGCCCCTGAACAGCCAAAGTGGGCGGAGCCTAGCCATGTTTGAGCTCATTTTGAAGCTCGTAACTTCAGAAAATTTTATAAATGGTTTTTGAACAGAAATACCTGAAATTTAGAAAGTTATGATGATTTTGAATTTTTCAAAATTTTCAAAAAAAAATATTTTTACAAAAATTTGAAAAAACCTACCGTATCTGTGCCAAAGTACAAGAAACCGCAAAAACCAAGTCGCCAAGAGTGGTATTAATCAAAAATATACTGTATAATTGAAGGGATTTGGGGGACTTGAACATAATTAGGTAGATCAAAATTAGGTTCAATGGGATCGCAAAAGAGCCAGTTATCCACCAGAATGTACTCGCCGCGTAGTCATAGGGCGTCCATTTTTGTTTCTGGAAAATCAAAAAATTGAATTTAGCTGGTTGAGAGCTTCAAAATGAGCCCAAACTGGATAGGAATTCAAAAGTTTTGAAAAATTGAATTTTTCAAAAATTTCGAAAAATTCAAAATTAACATAACTTCCCAAATTCCGAATATTTTACCCTAAAAGCTATTAGAAACTTTTTCTGAGGCCAAGAGCTTTAAAATGAGCCCAAACACGACTAGGCTCCGCCCACTTGGAATGTCAGTGGCGCGTCGCGGTTGTGCGTCGCGTGTCTAGGTGAAATCTCAAAGCGGGCGGAGCCTAGTCGAGTTTGGACTCATTTTAAAGGATTTTACAAGCTGATTTCAAATTTGGCAGATTCTGAGCTTCAAAATGAGCCCCAACACGACTAGGCTCCGCCCGTTTTGATTTTTTGGGGTCAAAGGGGGCGGAGCCAAGTTTTCCCCGAATATAGCCGTGTTTATACTCATTTTAAAGCTGAGAACAAGCTGGGTTCAAAAATAAAAATTTCAGCAAGAGAAAGAGAAAACAAAAAAAGTTATAATAGAAATAAATTTTGAAATTTCCCCTTTTTAAAAATATCTGGAAATCTAAATCAAATTTGGACTTCAAAAATTTGATCTTTTGTTATTAATATTCCAAAAAATCCTTCTTTTTCCTGGAAAATGACATATAAATTTTCTATTTTTCCGGAATTATTATTTTTCTGTATAAGACCAACCCACACCAAAAATTATACGACCAACGTCAATAGGTTTCCGTAAATTAAATTTTCTGGGTGATTTGATATTGGTTGGTTAATGTAGAAGGTGAAACATTGAAACAGGGAAGAATGATCAAAGTTTGGACTAGACTTTTATGAACTTTGGAGTTTCTCGAAACTTTGAATCTACTGTAACTTTGTAAACTGTTCCCCAAACTTGCTGAAAACTACATTTTTGAATTTCGCTTGTTATCAGTTTCAAAATGAGTATAAATACGACTATATTTACAAGGAAAAATAAGCTCCGCCATTTTTGGTCCCAAAAATTTCAAAATGGGCGGAGCATAGTCGTGTTGGGGCTCATTTTGAAACTCTGAATCTTTCAAAATTGAATTTGCCGCGCAAGCTGCATTAAAATGAGCCCAAACTCGACCAGGCTCCGCTTATTTTAAAATTTCACGTAGCGCACGCGACGCACGACCGTGACGCGCCACTGAGAATCAAAGTGGGCGGAGCATAGGCAATACGGGGCTCATTTTGAAGCTCTTGACTTCAAAAAGAGTCAAAAATAGTTTTCAAGAAAAAATAACTGAAAATTAGAAAGTTATGATGATTTTGAACTTTTCGAAAATTTTGGAAACTTCAATTGTTCAATTTCATTCAAATTTGGGCTCATTTTGAAGGTCTTAACAAGTTGAATTCAAATATCGTTTAGTTAGTAATGTTATTCTATTGCTCATTCTTCAAATCTAGGCTATAATGAACTCAATTTGTCTAGAAGGAACTCTTTTTTCCTCGAAAAACCAATCAGATCAAAAGTTTTTTGATTGAGAACAAGAAAAATGGTGATAAATAAAAAATAAAAAGGAGAATTTAAGTTTTTTGAAATCTTAAATTTTTCACAAAAAATCCAAAAATCTGAAAATGTGGAAATCTGAAATTAGAAAAAATTACAGAAATTTAGAAATTCAGAAATTCAGGAATTCAGAAACTCAAAAAGTCAGAAAGTCAGAAATTTAGAAATTCAGAAATTCAGGATTCAGAGATTCGGAAATTCAGAAATTCAGAGATTCAGAAATTCAGAAATTCTGAAATTCTGAAATTCTGAAATTCAGAAATTCAGAAATTCAGAAATTCAGAAATTCAGAAATTCAGAAATTCAGAAATTCAGAAATTCAGAAATTCAGAAATTCAGAAATTCAGAAATTCAGAAATTCAGAAATTCAGAAATTCAGAAATTCAGAAATTCAGAAATTCAGAAATTCAGAATTTCAGAAATTCAGAAATTCAGAAATTCAGAAATTCAGAAATTCAGAAATTCAGAAATTCAGAAATTCAGAAATTCAGAAATTCAGAAATCCAGAAATTCAGAAATTTTGAAATTCTGAAATTCTGAAATTCAGAAATTCAGAAATTCAGAATTTCAGAAATTCAGAAATTCAGAAATTCAGAAATTCCTTATTTTCAGAAAATTTGAATTTCAGACTTTGAAAAATCTTAAATTTGCAAAAAATGATTTTACTGTAACAGCACAAAATAAAAAAAAACTCACCACAACTTCACTCAAATAGAACATTTTCTGCTTTCTTTTTTCAGTCGATTTTCAGATTGAAATCTGGAAAAATGTAAAAATCAATAAATTCCAAAAAATTCAGAATTCCGAGAAAAAAAAAGAAAAAAAATTGACACTAGTCATTGGTTATTGAGTATATTAATCAAAAAAAGGTGAGAGACGCAGAGAAAAAATATGAAAATTTTAGGGGTAATTGAGTTGTCAGGGAGATTGATATATGATATACGAAATCAAACAAAAATTGAAAAAAAAAGTTTTTTTTCTTTGAAAATTCTAAAAATCTTTGAAATCCTAATCTAGAGCTGAATTATGTATTTTTAAATCTAAAAATCCACGTTTGGAGCTTCTAAAACATATTTAATTACCGTAAACACTCTAATAGAACGCCACCCACCTGGACCGTCCATTTTGACCCCATATATGAAAGATATCAAAAAGTTGTCAACTGATAAAATGTTTATCATGATATCAGCTACATTTTATCAGTTAACAACTTTTTGATATCTCTTACAGAAAATGAGATACATGGCTATTTCAAAAATATTTTTTTGAAAATTTCAGATTGTTCCAAAAATAAAACTATAATTTTTGATGTTTGAAACAATAATTCCCCACACACCGTGGGAAAATATTTTTGAAAAAAAAATGAAAATTGGCTAATTTTTCCCTCTTTTATATACCACTTTTTTGAAATTGTTTGTTTTTCCATTTTTCCAGAAAAATGGAGAAAAAAATTCTGGAAAATTATTGTTATTTTCTAGAAATAATAAATTTGAGTTGTGGTCCAGACTATTAAAAAAAACTGAGTAGAAGAAGAAGGAAAGTAAATAAAGATGAGCAATATATGTTTTTTTTTCTCGGAAAATAATTTGTTTCCGGGTTCTTTTTTGGAGCTTCTGAATTTCTGAATTTTCAGAATTTCTGAATTTCTGAATTTCTGAATATCTGAATTTCTGAATATCTGAATTTCTGAATTTCTGAATATCTGAATTTCTGAATATCTGAATTTTCTGAATTTCTGAATTTCTGAATTGCTGAATTTCTGAATTTTCAGAATTTCAGAATTTCTGAATTTCTGAATATCTGAATTTTCTGAATTTCTGAATTTTCAGAATTGCTGAATTTCTGAATTTTCAGAATTTCTAAACTCCTGAATTTCTGAATTTTCTGAATTTCTGAATTTCTGAATTTCTGAATTTCTGAATTTCTGAATTTTCAGAATTTCTGAATTTCTGAATTTCTGAATATCTGAATTTCTGAATATCTGAATTTTCTGAATTTCTGAATTTCTGAATTGCTGAATTTCTGAATTTTCAGAATTTCAGAATTTCAGAATTTCTGAATTTCTGAATATCTGAATTTTCTGAATTTCTGAATTTTCAGAATTGCTGAATTTCTGAATTTTCAGAATTTCTAAACTCCTGAATTTCTGAATTTTCTGAATTTCTGAATTTCTGAATTTCTGAATTTCTGAATTTCTGAATTTTCAGAATTTCTGAATTTCTGAATTTCTGAATATCTGAATTTCTGAATATCTGAATTTTCTGAATTTCTGAATTTCTGAATTGCTGAATTTCTGAATTTTCAGAATTTCAGAATTTCTGAATTTCTGAATATCTGAATTTTCTGAATTTCTGAATTTTCAGAATTGCTGAATTTCTGAATTTTCAGAATTTCTAAACTCCTGAATTTCTGAATTTTCTGAATTTCTGAATTTCTGAATTTCTGAATTTCTGAATTTCTGAATTTCTGAATTTCTGAATTTCTGAATTTCTGAATTTCTGAATTTCTGAATTTCTGAATTTCTGAATTTCTGAATTTCTGAATTTCTGAATTTTCAGAATTTCTAAACTCCTGAATTTCTGAATTTTCAGAATTTCTGAATTTCTGAATTTCTAAACTCCTGAATTTCTGAATTTTCTGAATTTCTGAATTTCTGAATTTCTGAATTTTCAGAATTTCTGAATTTCTGAATTTCTAAACTCCTGAATTTCTGAATTTTCTGAATTTCTGAATTTCTGAATTTCTGAATTTTCAGAATTTCTGAATTTCTGAATTTCTAAACTCCTGAATTTCTGAATTTTCTGAATTTCTGAATTTCTGAATTTCTGAATTTCTGAATTTTCAGAATTTCTATTTGTTTTGTCAAAAATAGGAAAAATAGCATCACTAACTACAAAAACTACAAAAATTGTCAATTCCATTTCCAGGAAACTCAAAAATTCCTATTACAAAAAAAACAGTTTTTTTTTGCAAAAATGAGCAACAAAAGTTTTTTTCCTGATCTTTGCAATTTTTCCCGCTGAAATGGGACCTAATCAACTATAATTCTTTGACATGTTTCCACATTTTTTCTGAGAAAAAATGAGAAAAAAAATTGTTGAAAGGTTCAAAAATCTATTGGGAAAAAAGAATTAATGGGAAAAATATAATTAAGTTGTCTTCAATTTTCCTGGAAATGAAAATAATGGATTAATTAAATTTAATTAGATGGAATTATTGTTTCAGATGTTTGCCCGTAAATACTCTAATAGAACGCCATCCGGGACGGTTCACTTTAAGCCTTAATATCTCACTTCTTTTAAAAGATATCAAAAAGTTGTCAACTGATAAAATGTTTATCATGATATCA